CCCCTGAGAACACTTGTCTTGTAACAACTCAATTTCTATAAGCCTTGAGTGTATTGTGATGTGTAACAGTGGCTTTAGGAACTTTTTAATCTCTGAAAAATTGCCTAAATAAGTTGTATATAGGATGATGATCAAAGACTATTTCAGAAATTGATTTTTCTCAACACTTAGGCAAAAATCTGAATTTTGAACTCTTGAGAACGCACAAATGTTAAAGCTTATAGATAGGAATCAATGTCTCAAATTTTTGAACTCATAACCTATTTATATTCCTTGAAAAGGCAATTTTTTAAACCAAATAAACAGATATAAACAGCTATATGCAGTTTCAAATTCAAATTCAGATATACAGAAAAACTGTATCTGTAGTCGACTACAAGACATAGTAGTCGACTACAAGACATAGTAGTCGACTACTCTGTGTTAATTCTCATTCTGTAAAGTCTGAAAATTGCTTTGTAGTCGACTATAATGGTCATTAGTCGACTACTCTGTAAAACAGAAAGTCTGGAATTCAAAATTCGAAGTTGAATAGTCGACTATAATTTTTAGTAGTTGACTATTCTGTAAAATTTTAGAAACTTATATTTTGATCTAAGACTTCAGTAGTCGACTACTAATCTAATTAGTCGACTATTAAGGGTTCAAAATGTTATGTATGAAATATTTTGAGACTTATTAATTGACTAAATACTCTAATGGTTAACATAGGGGATTTCTATTGTTAACCAACACATTAAGCCTGTGTTAAAGTGTTCTAATCTCTAAGTGTGCGTATGTGTGAGTGATCAAGGCTTGTACAATTTTTCTAAGTAAAGAAAATATAAAAATTACATTGATGTATAAGCTCTTCATTTTCTTTACTTCATGATGCATTGAACTCATCTTGCACTTGTTCATGTTGATAGCAGTATTGAAATGTTAGTGCACAATAATACACATAGTGATTCATATTATGAATAAATTGTTATCATCAAAATTATATCATGGAGACATGATATCCAACATAAGCTACCGCTGTTTTGTCACCGCCACACTCTTAGTCTATTCATGGTTGGTTCTCATGACTGCTATCTTATTTAAAAGCCTTGTAGAAAGTATTGTGCATTGCATCTGAACATAAACAATATTGTCTGTGTCTTAATGTTCATTTACCTTTTAAATATTAATGTAAGGTGATTTGCACCTCAACATAGAGCAATCTGGAAAATATTATGTTCATTGCATTTGAGAGGACCTCTGATCCCTTTTCATCTAATATCGCTAACCTCAAGTTTCCTTCCAAAATTGGAATGACAGTGAGAATAGAGGATGGAATACCACAGTATTTTTTAGTGGATAACGATACACGAACACTCAAAAGGGTGTATCTGGCAAGATTTTTTAGGGTTAGACATATTTGGCACGCTTTAATGACGATGAATCCACAGAAATATGAAGAGGAATAAGAACAGGAGAGAAGCTATACTTCAGAGATTTTAAACCCTCCAAGTATTTTTCAGGTGTTGAATTATATCACTACGATTCATTGAAAACATAAAAAGATGAAACTTTGGGGCTTTAGCTTTATTCGACGACAATGCCATGAATCCAGCCTATCTCCACTACACACACATTACCGGAACTGCAAACTCATATGCTATAAAGCAAATATAGATATAGATTATAAGCCTTCATGCATTAGAAGTTAGCACTTGACCGAACTTTGTAAATAAATATTATTAATTCTTGGAGAACACCAATCTGGATATATCTACACGCCATTAGCGTATGACATATGTAGATGCCCTGTAACTGTACATAACCAATCGACCTTTCCGTGCAGCCTATGTCACTAATGATTGCCCGACATTCCTAAACATTGCACATTTCATGTTCTGCATGCCATGTTCATGATTAGTACTTAGTAATGATATCAGAGGAAGACAATATTTAGCCTATTTATATTCAAGAAAGTATCATCATCAAAGTTGTGGTGTTTCTACGACACTATGAAAAGAACATCCTGTTAAGACTTGCACCATACTCATAAACAAGGTTAGACTTCTATACTAGAAGATATGAAACGGTAAAGTATCATTATCATCATATAGTAATAATGTCAAAACCTGAAGAATGGCTTCTATTTTCTGAGTCTAGTTCATGTTAAATCCTAGGCTTCTGAACTAAATTTTTTTCAATCAAGTATTGTTAGCTCCTATTAATGTTGATTGAATCAAATCCAAGACCCTAAATGGATTAGGAATCATATTTCAGAGGGAAGGAGAATATGGCTCCATTTCTTCAATTTGTAGCCAAACTTGATGCTCGGGAAATTGTAATAACTAAAGTGAGTTGCATACCGCAACGTGATACGGATATCTCTCAGTCTCACATATGGATGTAAATTGTTATTGACGTGCTCATATGTAAGTGCATTATGTGAATTTTTTTATGTCTATTTGCTGAACAGGTTGTTCTAGAGTAGACCTCTATATTCAAGTTCTTGGGTCCAGGAACAATGTATTTCCCCAAGACGGTGTAAGAGATTTATTTAGTTTTCTTCTTCTTTTCTTTGTGCTATGAATATTGTTTGCTTATTTCATACTGTTTTTATCGCCGTGCTAATGTCATATGTCAAATGCTGACGGTACTTCTATCATGGCTGCCAAATGTAGCCATTCTCATGTTTCGGTGACCTTTTGTATGTGTTTTAGTACATCCATTGCACTTGAGCATGCATAAAATCGGGTTATCAGACCCCTTTTTTTTTTGGATATTTCAAAATGTTGCTTTAAGTTTGAGTTAAATGATAATGTTATTTTGGAGATGCATTTCATTTCGTGTCTTGTTCCCACTCTCATATTGTTACTACTTTTGTGTGAAGTCTTGCCCTTTGTGTAATTTGATTTAGCCCTTAACTTTTCAGGATATTTCTGTGTCTGCTCAAGTTGCTTCTTTCGTCACCCGACTTGAAGAGGATTACTTTCTCAGGATATTTTCGGTGAGTTCTAATGAAATTAAAGATGCTGTGGAAATGGAGTCGTGTTGATTCTCCTCTTTTTAGCAAATTTGTTCAGGATATAATCTGAACCCCAAGATGGTTAATCTTCTATATCAAGTTTTTCTTTGTTTTATCCCCTAATTTTGTAATAAAGATATTGTTATATTTTCTGTTCTGTCTTCTCATGAAGTGAAGGAGCTCTAATATATGCATTCTCAAGCTCTTGCCAAAGGGTTTCCTGTAGATCAACACCCTCCTCTTCACCTTCCCTCTACCTCCATAACAAGCTACTATCTTCACTGCTACACTCTTAATATATGCATGCTTGGTTCTTATGAATGCAATCCTATTTAAAGCCTAATAGAAAAATACAGTGCATAGAAATCTATAAACTACTTTGTCCATTTCATTTGAGAGAACCTCTGAACCCTTATTACAAACTTGGCAACCTAAAATTTCCTTGCAAAATTAGACTGACAGTTAGATGGAGGATGGAATGCCACCGTATCTTTAGTGGATAATAGTACATGCACCTCAATTCGGCATATTTGGCATGCTTTAATGGCGATGAATCAACAGAAATATGAAGAGGAATTAGAACACGAGAAAAATTATACTTCGGAGATTTTAAACCCTTCAAGTATTTTTCAGGTGTTGAATTATATCTGTGCTGCACTATAATTCATTGAAAAACATAAACAGAAGAAACGTGGGGATTTAGCTTTAATTCAAGCATTCAACTACATTGCCCTGAATCCAGCCTATCTCCACAACACACACATTGCTAGAACTGCAAAGTCATATGCTATCAAATCAAAATGATAAGCATTCACGCTATCAGAAGTTGGCACTCGATCAAATTTTGTCAAGAAATAACATTAGCTCCTAGAGAACAGAAATCTGGCTATGTCTAAACTCTATTAGCTTATGACATATGCAGATGCCCTGTAACCGTACATACACAATTGACATTTCCATGCAGTTTATGTCACTATTGATACTATTGATGGCCGATGTTTCTAAGCATTGTACATTTCAAGCTAGCGCATGCCATGTTCATGATTACTACCAAGGATATCAGAGAAAGAATATATTTAGCGTTCAAGAAAATTTTATCATCAAAATTGTGGTGTTTCTATTGCATTACCAAAAAATATATATATCTGTTAAGACTTGCACTTTACTCTTAGACAGGGTTAGCCTTCTATAGTAAGAAGATAAGAAATAGTAAAGTATCATGTAGTAATCTCAAACCAATTTCAGCTATCAAGTTGATGACCGAGGATGGCTTCTATTTCCTGAGTCCAGTTCATGTTGAATCCAATTCCTTTACATGTCGTAAGGGTCTTGAAACTATCCTAGGCCGACCCAGTCGACACTGCTTTTCCTGGCATCGCGGAGCATTGGAACTTTGGGGACTCAATGAAGAGACTGCAGAGACTTGATAAAGACAGTTTCTAATTTTTTTTTTTCACTGAGTTGTTTTCCAGATGTTGCGCTGTATAGACAAATTCATTTCTTTAAGATTTCTCTATGATAATTTTATTTTGGATAGTCCATCCTTTTCTTGCTGATTAATTGGTTAGAATAGACCGCAAAGGACTCCCTAGAAGCAACCGCGAGAATTTGGTACGTTCCAGTTTCTATGTTCTTTTGCAGCGCTTGCACAGTTGAAGAAAATCATAAATTGTAATGTTTGGAAATGTATTCTGTTTGGTTATCCATCTCAGCCTGCAAAAGCTGGGGGGGTATAAGTATTGCATCACGCACACAAACACTCTCACACAAAATCATGTGACATGTTTTGTTGGAAACTAGACATTTTGTTCTGTAGACCTTTAGGATATCAATGTTCAAAAAGGTGCAACTTTAGGGTGCCAAATTGCGAAGAATCCTTAAAGAAAAATATTAGATGAGGGCATTTTGGTCACTGAGGGACTAATAAGAAGTTTCTTAGATTTGAGGGGCTAAGATGGAGTTCTTGAAGAGTTGAAGGACCAATATCGAATTACTGAAGATTTGAGGGATCAACATCTAAACGACCCTACAGGGTTAAGCGAGCTCAAAGGTCCTTTTGCTCGAGGCGTGAAGAATGGAAGGGCTAGGGTTTTGGGTTCCGGGGTTTGAAGAACGAAGATTTCAGTAATGGCCATGATGCTCCCTCTTCTCAAGCGAAGCCTTTATCTCACCTCTCCTCTCTCTATCACCCCCAAAAATGCCACCTTTATCCTTCGTTTATCCTCCTCAGCCTCCGCGACTCAAAACCCATCTCCCAAATCCAATATCATGGCAGATTACTTGATCAAATCATTTGGTTTCCCTCCACAAAAGGCAGCCACTGCCTCCAACTACATCGCCCATAGCGCCTCCACTGAAAATGCTGACTCAGTGAGGAACTTCCTCGAACGCCACGGCTTCACTGAGTCCCAGATCCATGCCATTGTCTCCTGGGATGCTCGAATCCTCGTTGCCAATGTAGATGAAACCCTAAGGCCCAATTACAAGGCTCTTCGTGATATCGGGTATTTCTCTGACGCCGAGCTCAACAGACTCCTCACTTACCACCCTCGAATCTTCACCCACCCTCGGGCAATCCCTCGATTGAACTTCTGGAAGGAGTTTCTTATGAATGACAAAAAGAAACTTCTAACGGCGTTCGTTAGGAACCCGGGCCTCATATGCCAGGACATTGATTCAGGGATTACCCCGAAGATTTCTCTTTTAAAGGATTATGGCCTCTCACAGAACGATATCGCGATTCTTTTGCTTAGAGGCCCTGGGGTTTTTAGGAGGAGTGTTACTTCGATGGAGGCCTTGTTGAATATGATTGCCAAGGAATTGCAGTTGGCAGACAAGTCTTGGAAGTTCGCTCGCTGCTTGATTGCGCTCTCTAGTATTGGAACCGATAATTTTCAGGTGAAGAAGGAGCTTTTCATGAGTTTCGGATGGACAGAAAGGGATTTTCTCGATGCGTTAAGGAGAGATCCCCTTATGGTGCGTTTCTCTGAGGAGAATATCCGCGGGAAGGTGGAGTTCTTGGTGGGAAAAGGAGGATGTGAGAACTCCTACATTGTTTCTCACCCGTCGATTTTGGGGTTTAGTCTGGAGAAGAGATTGATGCCTCGCTGTCACGTGATGAATATTTTGAAGTCAAGTAATTTGGTGGGGAGAGTGGGGAATCTTTATAATGTTATATGCTTGACAGAGAAGAAGTTTCTTGATAAAGTTATTTTCCCTAATATGGCACGACTGCCAGAGCTCCATGACACTTACATTGCTGCTTGTGCCAGCCAAATTCCTCTTTGATTGCTATGAGAGGTTCATGAAGGAGCTGGATCTGCTCTACATGAAATCAATAGTAAGTCCGAATTGATTTTCAGTTGTTATCATGCTATTCTTGCATGAGTCGTACTAATCTTCGTCATCCATGAGGCCAGAATTATAGTTGTATGAGACTTGCGCTTTTTATAGGAAATATGTATTGGCTTTCTTTATATCTTAATCCTGATGACTGGTTGGAATCCATTAACAGTTCAGTTTATGATTTGTTAGCATAAAGATGATAATGAATCCAGTATGGAGTAGGAGCTTTCAATTTTCCCTCAATCTACATGCCTTGAATCTGTGATCACTGCTTCCAAATTTAAGCCCTTTTACCTTCTTGTCCTAGATAGTTGCTGCTTTTATTCTATTTATCATCTTTCTATGTGAAGATCATTAGATTTAATGTTCATGCTTCTATTTTGTACCTTGTATGAGAAGACTTTTTAGATGCGGTTAGTTCTCAAACTTAATGTTATTTTTGAATTTGAATATCACTAATTCTTCTGTTTAAATGTGCCATATGTTGTCATTTGCAAGTGATATGTAATTTTTATAATATATTGCATTTAGTATATATTAGTTGAACACATCATGACATGCTGTATACTTTTTTCTCAAGATTACTGTATCCCCTTTATCTTTGAAATATTGTACTGTTTTGCATCAGTAATACCGCAAAACAAGCTGTAAGAAAATATGTATCAAAACCATCAGTTTGAATATAAATAATAATAATGAAGATGACAGCACATCTATCAGTATGTTTGTGCAGTGTGGCATGATATTACACTGATCTTTTCTTTTGGGTGCAATAGCAACAACAAAACATTTATCCCAAAATTTTGGGGCTGGCTACATGAAAGAAAAGCTGCACTGTGTAAAAATAAATAGAATTATGAAGAACATATATGAAGACAATCATACACTTTCCTCTCTAAAAAAGTATAGGTAAGATTGAAAAAGTAGGAGGTAATTATGAATATGATGTGTTGGTTGTATATACATAATCTCAGGGCAATTATGAATGCACTCGAATTATGCTTAGCTCCACCTTTAACACTTGTTGCCTCAGGATTGGTTTTGGACTATGTAGTATATGATGGGGGTGAACTATATGGTTTTGTAATTTTTTATATGTAAAAACCTTGTAGCTTAATTGGATGCATGAGACACTTATATGTATGGCCTCATCTTTCTTTCTGTCTCAGTGCTGTTTTAATTTAACTTCTATTAATAAAATGATGGGAGTTTTATCCTTTGTTTACTTGAAAATTTTAAAAAGAGATATATGATGTGTCCATGAACAAACCTAAATGATGTATCAAGGTGTCTTGACATTTTTTTGCGTTATTAGCAGAAATCTCAATGTGAGCAAATGAGGATTCCCAGATACAAAATTGAGTACTTCATCTGGTTAAAGACCACAGAGAGCACTTCCTCCTTGAAAAACTGGTTAACGTTCACACCAATCTGAGGCCATGGAGTCTGGCTTCATGTGTGAGGCTTTTCTCTGTATGGATTTAAGACTCACAGGAACAACTAGAACCAAATAAATAGAAATATTCATCAAACTAATTCAAGTAGAAGAGCTTCCTATATTTTCTCCAATCTCCATCACTCTCAAAGCACAAATAACATCATTTTCTTATATACAAGGCTCTTTAGAAGTGAAAGTGGATATAAGTTAACGTCACTGTTAACTTATATCCAGTATTTATAATTAGGTAGTATGAAATGGGATTTTGGAGTTGGGTTGTAGAATTTGATAAGAGTAACTAAGGACTGATTATTGGAAATATAGGTATAAGAGGTGATAACATAACAGAATATTTCTAAAATAGGTATAAGAGAGGATAATATAAAGGAGCTTTTTTGGAAGCAGCATCATATGTCAGCAAAGCAATAGAAATTCAGAGAGGTTTTAGATTAGTTGGGATCTTACGCTCTTTTCTGTTTATGAATTATGGCAGTAAACAAAGATGATCTTAAACTGGTATTTTGAATTTTAACTGTAGAGACTAGAGAGTTGATGTGAAAGATGAGAAACCATGGGGAAATAAATCGGGTGGTGCTCTCGTTGAGCATTAAGAAACTATTATAAACATTTTATTTTTATTTTTTTTTGCAGAAAACTAACATAAATTTTATATAGAAAATTTTCACTGAATTATTCATCTTGCATTCTCTGTTAGTTAAACTACTAATTTGGCTTGCACAGTACAAATTTTGGTCAAACTTGCCTACCAAGTCTTACCTTCTATCTTCATTTTGACAGTGTATACAAAAAAAGGATGGTGATATGTTAGTATTTTTTTCGAGACTTTCACTTGGCAATATCGAAATTATATGGTAGCAGCACTAAATAAAAGTTCACGATGGTTTTTTGAAGTTTGTCCAACAAAGGAAGCTGATATTAGCTTCTATCAGTAACTCTTTATTGATTTAGGCCGGTTTTATAGCCCATTTCTTTATGTATTGTATATATTGATTAGATTGAGAGCATATTGCAGTAACTCTTCAGTGACTTGAATTTCAACTTTTCAATACTAAGCCTGTTACAATTATCTAAGAAAAGCCACACTTTTGGTTTGGTAAAATTGTTAATTTGATACGGGTTTGTGTGATCAAATCAACCATTTTTCTCTCAACAGGATTCTTAGTTGAGAGAATTATAGGAAATGGGGTTGTTAGAGAGTATTTCTCTTTGAGATTTTGAGGTGGACTTTGAGGGGGTGGAGATGAATGGGTGTAGTCTCTATAAATAGGGTAGTCTTCTCTTTGAGAGAACACAATACAGAAAAAGAAAACCTCAATCTCATTACTGGATCCCCATCAAAATACTTTATACTTATCTCCTTTGCTCACTGGTATCAGAGCAACTTTTCTCGATCAATTTTTTTTTCCGTTGAAGCCAAAGCTGCTGTAGTTCTTCCCTTCAGTGGAGTTTACTTGCCTCCATTATTGTAGCTTCTGGGGTTTGGTCCCTAAAAAGATAAAGATCTAGCTATTTCTTTTTTTTTTAATTTTTTATTCTTCTCTTTCACCCTACCATGTGAACCTGCCTCCTTTAACCATTTTTTAATATTTCTTATCCTTCAAAAGAGTTTGAAAGTCTCCAGCCTTTTGGATTATTTTAATATTTTTTGCCTATCTTGAGAACAAGCGCCACAAAGTTTTTTATAATCAACAGAGACCCGTGACATATTCTACGTTTGTTTTTGTTTATTAACTTTTTTGCAAAAGCCCCCTCTTCAAAAGTTTCCTTTAAAAAGACCCTCCTGCTTAACGATCGTCTTCCTCCTTGAGCACTTTCATCTTTAGACGTCCAACATTTGATCCGCACCAATCAATAGCTGCCACCTTCAAATCAAGCAGTTCAGGTTAGTTCAACGTTGAGTAGATCTAACTCCAACCTCGACGACCATCAGATCAAATTGTATCTGACTCTATACACTGGACACTTTCAGAACCAAGTTTCGCCAACTCGGAGCAGAAAGTTGCTTCTTCAATCAACACCACTAAGTGACGGTCTTGCTCGAATTGAAGCCTCCTTTCTCACCTCACAACAATTAGTTTTAGTTATCTACCAAATAGCTAGTCACCTCGTTCTATCAAAACTAGCAAAAATTGATAAATTTAATGGCAGTAATCAAGGTTTTAAATGTCGGATGTCGGGTTCATGTTGGACGGCTAAAGTTCATGTCAAATAGCGAAAATCGGGGATATGTCGGGGGATATGAAAAAAATATTGGAGTCATATCGGATGGTGAGCATGTGTGTGATATAATATTATAAATAAAATCTAAACATACTTAATAAATTTTATTGTCTAAATATATAAAAAATAAATAACTTACGATGCTTAGGGTTAATGTTGAAGGAAAAATGTGAGAAAACAGAAGCATGATGTTGACGGTTAAGGAGAGAGAAAATCGCCTAATATTGATGTCGAAGAAACAACTTGGAGAATAGATCGATGATATGTTGAAAGAGAGAGAAGATGAGTGGCGAAAATGACTGCGGTCCTTTTTTCACCTAACTGATTGGGTTTTGTATTTGGAAGCAATAGTAAGTCAATTAGGAATTTACACTCAAACCTGATTAGGTAAATATAACCAAAAAATCAATTGATTTTTTTGAAAAATAGGCCGATATAGCCGATATGCCCCCCGATATATCCCACCGACATATCCGACATGAACCCTGAAAACGTAATACGCATTGAAAAGCTTCATATCGTGCTGGTTGGCCCCTAAATCTGGCATGTCGGCCGATATGTCCGACTGACATTTAAAACACTGACAGTAACTACTACGATATGTAGCATAGAAAAATAGGATATATCCTTATTTATGACAATATCTATGTGTAGTTGAAACCGCTGCTCCAACCCTTATTGATAAATCCACACCTAAAAGAAAGAAAGGGTTAGAGCAGTGAAAGTCAAAAGATAAAAAGGTGAAAAGCCTAGTTCTCATGTTTGTGGAAGATATGTGATTAAAGTTTTTTGGAATTTAGAAAACTTCCATGGACATGTGAAAGCTATAAAAGAAAAATATGACACTGTCTCTAAAGTTAACATTCAACTTCTCTGACATAAATGCAATTATTATCATATGCAAGAGAGAGACAATATCATAGAGCATATTAATAAGATGATTGTCATGGCTAAGGACTTATCCACAGTTAGGACCGAAATCCTAGAAAGAATTCAAGTGGTAACCATTTTGAATAGTCTCCCCACATCCCTTACTGTGGCTGCCATCATATTAAGAATGAATCATGCTATTAAATCTATCACTAATCTTTCAATGCACCTAGCGATAGAACATGACTTAATAGGTAGTAGGAAGGAACTAGATTTAAACATAGTACAACAGGAGATGAATTATGTTTGCCAAAGACATAATGCTAAAAGCCATTGAAATCCTGGCTCTAACAAACCAAAATTGAGAGGACCTAAATCGCAGCAGTTTAAGAAGAAGAAAGTATCCCTCGAAGCCTGCTACAACTGTGAGAAGTTTGGGCATTTCA